GGCTTAACGGATACTACAATTTGGTATAACACCGGTTGGTATTATGTACCTCCTCCTGACACTCATAGAACACACTTACAATGGGCCTACTTGTCTCCAAGTAGAAGTACGAAAACTTTATAACGTAGGTATCTAAACAAATATTTTACATTTTTTAATTTAACTTATTTATTTTTATTGGGGGTACATACTTTTTTAATTTTAATTGCAAGGCTGTACTGTACAACGGCCGCTGTAGCTGAGTAATTAGAGGTGCGTGCCACCACTGCATAGAACCTGGGTCCGAACCTCCAAGTCTATTTCTGCCTTGAAAACACTTCGCATCAAACCATTTTCGGTTCGGAAGCGGCGTAAAGTTGTAGACCCCTCCATTTGCGTTATAAAATCAGGACGTATACCAAAAATTGAACGATAAGCTAGGCCAAACACTAAGCAAAAGTGTAAGGGCCAAAACAATAATATTACTTAATATTTTTTGGCTTTCTTTGTTTTTCTCTTTGAATTTTAAGCTTATTTTTAACCGACTAAAAAAAGGAGGAGGATATCAATTCTTCGGAATATTATTATTTTTTATGTATGTTACCGCATAACTTTGGACCGCGTGAACCAATTTCTATAAAATTTATTTAAGAAGAGGTGGTCCCATATTAATTTGGTTTAGATCTGAGCATTGGAGATGAATTTAACGGTACTCTTAATTTTTTTTATGAAAATTGAAGTCGGTTTGGTTTTTTGTTTAAACATTACTTGTTTGTGGAAGAAATAAGAGCTTTGCTTTAATTTTTTTAATCTTCATTGTTTTTTAAATATATTAAAATTTTAAATTTTTTAGTATATTGTGTATTGTGATGATTTTTTACTAAATTCATTCTTATTTTTTTCCGTTCTATGCCATTTTGAAGGCTTCACAAAGCGTAAAATAAAAATTAAACATATTTTGTCAAGATTTTCTTTATTACATTTTTGGTCTTAATTTTTCTTTTCTTGCAATTATGCTGCGTTCTATACAATTCGTTTTATTAAAATTTTTTTTTAGAATTTTCTATAGACTAGTTACAAATAGTTCTTTCATTTTGTGTGTAGCAAAATTTTCCCTCCACTCACAATGGCCCTTCAAGTCTTAGCTATTATTTGAACAATGCTTTTGTTTTTATTTATATCACGTTATTATTGTTCATTCATCTTTCCATTTGCATTGTTTTCTCGTCTGCATTGTCATACGCAATACGCTAATTTGCATTTTACTAATCGCATCAGATCGCTACAGAATACGAATATGTAGTGTTTATCTATATACATACATATGTATGTGCATATTTGTGTATACATTTAATTATATTATTTATACCCTATAAGCAAAATATATTTAGAGTCTGTAGTTAGTTAGTAGTTTGGAAGTTAGAGACACTCAAATTTGACAAATTTACCACATTGTGAAAAATTTTTATTCTATCACGTTGACATCATTCCGGGTTCTTGTTTGTCTAGATATTATAGAATAGGCAACTCGTCGGTCAAAAAAAGAAAAGTTTATTTTTTCCCCAAAAATTTTTTAGATTTGCCTTTTTCGAAAAGTTTATGTTTCGACACTTTCTCCAACTTTGGTTTTTGAAAAAACTTAATTTTTTTTTGTGAAAATATTTTAATTTTTGTAAATATTTTATTTTTTGAAAGTGTTATATTTTTAGAAAAAATTTCTTTTTTGAAAAAAACTTTTTTTATATAATATCTGATCTGCCTATGTTGCACAAATTTTAATAATTTATTGTTAAACTTAGAAGTTCGTATTGTTTAAAAAATTATAATTTATATTTTTCGTTGCGTCTTTTTTGTTATGATTTTAGCTATAAAGCTTCCTCTGCGAAGAGAATACTTAAAACTTAGGTACATGCTGAATGATAGTAGGCATGTCTCCCAACTCAGCTACAACGGCATTGCAATAAACGGCAACATTTTTAAACTTTTATATTTTCAATCTCGCTTACAAAGATGTGCCTCCGAGCATATTTAACCTCCGTCACTTCACTTTTTTTTCAATAGATTCAACAAATTGTAAACAAGTTGGCAATGTTTGGAAAATTGATGTTTCCCAAAAACTGATTTGGGAAACTATTGTAAAAAACATTTGGAAAATGCTGGGCTTACTTTAAGGCACCTAAGTGGAAAATGTTTCATCAAATTTTTAGCATTTCCATTGAAATAACATGCAGAGCAGATGAAGAAGTGCATCCGACGTACATACATATGTAGGCACTTATGTACATATGTATATATTATGCGAGTATTGCTAAGCACCCTAAAATGTGTAATGCGTACTTATTACGAGCATTGTATTTTTAACAATAAAAAATTTCAAAGTATGTATTGGAACTGAGAAAAATTTATAAAAAATATACATATAGGCATTGTAAATAAATCTAATCAACCTCGAAAAGAGACCTTTTAAAAGCCCTTATATCTGATATTTTGAAGCATTAGGCGTTCAGAGCTCGATTATTTACTCTTTTTTTTTTGGTTTCGCATGCCAAAGTTTCAAAGCCTTCCGAATTAGCTTTTCTTCGAAGGCATCACATGAAATAATAATTTCACAGTTCAAATTTAAATACATTTACTTCGGCGCATAGTACTTCAAAAATAGTTAACTTCCGATTGCTATATCCCTATCTTCTACTTTTATCTCGTTAGACACCCCCTATGAAACTCGAATTTCACTCCACTCGCCGTTTAATTGCACAGCAAGGCGTCTGAGCGATTTTTATTTGCCTACAATTAAATGGCAATCAATCATTCGCTATTTGCTCGCATGTACATATGTGCGTCTGTGTGCGTGTATAAGCGCTTACAAGTGTTAAACAATCAAAATTCATTTCGTAAAAATAAACAACGCCAAAAATCCAACACGCACGGGTGAATGACTGACTGGGGATTATGTCTTTTCTAGTTTAATTTTATTTTATTTTTTTTTGTAGGCCTTTTGCGAATTTTTTGCCAGCTCTGACCTTTTCTAGGTTCAATGATTTTTGGGGTTTTTGTTCTATTCAAATGTCTGCTCAAGAATTTTTCGAGTATTTTTTCGCATACTTTGACTTTGAGTATGGTTGAGAGAAAAAGATGTTTAGACGAGTATGTGTACGTATGTATGCCTGAATGAATTTGTAAATTTTTGTTAGTTTAGAACTTTGCAAATAATACAAAAACAAGAAACGTAAGCAATTATTAATGACACCAATATTTGTTTTAAGCTGCATTTGTATGTATGTAGGTGTACTGACACGATTTTTTTTGCGCAAAAGAATTCTAGAGTAGAAAAGAAGAATTAAAATAAGGGGGAAATTAATAAAAAAAAACTATTTTTTAAATTTAACATTTATACATGTATGTATGTACATATATTTATATATGTATCTATATATATATACATTTTTTTTAAAGAAAAACAGATTTTTTACTTTTTAATACAAAATTTTCATTTTGTTAGTTTTTTTTTTTGTAAAAATTTCTTAAAAAATTTTTTTTTTCAAATTTATTAGCGTCTTTAGACTACTTTTACAACATGAAAAAGTTTCCTAAAGCTTTTTTTTAAAGAAAATAGAAAAAATTTAGAGTGGAAAAGAATTATTTTTATATTGTTAACTTTTACTTAGTGTTTCGCATAAAAAGTGAAGTGCATGCGAATATTATAATCAAGCGTGATCCTCTCAGAATTTTCCAAATTTCAAAGTATCCATTGCATCTTAGGGTAAAAAATTTTAGCAAACAAAATCTGCACTTTCATTCAAAATAATGTCAACATTTTTATGGAAAACTTGTTTAAAATTTTGTGTACTAATTTTGCATACTTACAAATGAAAGAAAAAATTTGAATTTTAAATAATCCCACTCCAACAACATCTTCAGTAAAAATTAAAAATATTCAAATTAAAATTAAAAACTTTTTAAATTAAAAGTACCCTAATAAATCAGGTAAAATGCTTAACCCAAGTAACAAGTAAAATTTGATTTTCATATTTTTTCCATTTTTGTAAATTATTATGATGCTCTAAATATTTTAGTAAACCAAAATAGTTTTAATATTAAATTCTTAGTAATTTGTGAATCCATTTTTTTTTTCTGGTGAATCCATTTTACATAGTTACAAGCTAAAAAGTAATTCAAAATTATGGTTCGGAAAAAAATTAGCTCAACAAACGCTCCTTGTCCGACCCTTATCAGCCAACCAGCTATGGAAATAAATTCAAAGTGAATTGAAGTAAGAAAATGAAATGGCCGGCAAGAAGCAGTCAGTGCAGGTTCAGCGAAATTAGGTTACTATGACATTTTGAAATTGGCTTTTCTGCTTATTAAAGCGAGCATTAAAAATTAGCTTTGGCTGTTAAAGTGTGCGACAAATACGAGTATGCCACACTTGAGCGCTGGACAACGGGGCGTATGATTGATGTCGAATGATTCGGAATTGGAGCGTAAGCTCTGAAGGAAGGGTGGATGGATGCTGTAGCAGCAGCTACGAATGAGAGTGGTAATAAGGAAATTATAGGAAAGAGCAAGGGAGAGGGGTTTGAATAGAGAATACTAAAGATATAAGGACATTAAAGAAAGCTGTGTATTAAAAAAATTTATTTTTATAAAAAAAGCATAGAGAAAATGTTTGTTTAAAATTTTATTTCTAGTGTTTAAGTTTAACTAAAATCCCTAAAAGCGCTATCTCAAATCGTCGCGGAAATACAAAAGGCCGTAACTAAATAAAAATCCAAAATTTATTTTTTGTTGGGTTATGATGCATTTCATCGAATTATAAGTCCCCACGTTATTTTATGCAATACAAAATTTTAGTTAGTTACGGCTTTTTTGCATATCAACGACGACGTGAGATAGAGCCTTTCTTTATTAAGGAAACGACTTAATCCTTTTGTGAATTTATTTTCAGAAGCTACTTTTTGCCAGTCGTTTCATGACTACTTCATATTTCTCTTCGCTAATCGCTTTCTTTCATTTCTTTTTAGGCCGCCTCGCCGCGTTGGGAACCACAAATTGCGGTGCTCTGCGAAGCCGGTCAAGTATTTCAACCGCAATACCTCTCCGAAGAGGGACGCTGGGTAACGGATTTGAATAAGAAGACATCGGGCGCCACATGCCTGCGTGACAAAATGGATTTACTGGACTACTGCAAAAAGGTGAGTGGAAAAGCAAATGAGAAAATTTAAGTGAAATTGAAAAATTACAACAAAAACAACAACAACAAGAAAGGATTCCCTGCTACCAATAAAATATACACTTATCTCTCTGAAAAAAGGTGCATAAAATTGCGCTGCTGAAGTCGAAAAGTGCGCACAAACGCACAGCATGACTAGGAAGCAAGAGCTTGGAGCTTTACAAAATGGGTCAGACGTCAAAAGGCTGCCGTAGCGTAAAAAAAAATATAATAATTTATAGATTCTTCTTAGCATTTTTCACCTTTTACATATTTGCTATTTGCATTTTATTTGTGAATCTGGGCAACGCTGCCGCTATTGCTGCGCTCAGTGCTTTGAAAATCACTGCTAATACCTTCCTTTTATCCACCCACTAAGCCACATATCGATTACCCTAGAAGACTTAGCCAAAAGCAATTTCATTTTACACTTCACCATTTGACTATTTGGCTGCACGATTACTTTGCAAGAGATTTTGAAAAATTATAGCAAGAAATTGGTGCACTCGCCCGCACACATACTCCTGCATGAAAGCTAAAAAAAAACAAAGCTCAGAATCACTTTAATGCATTTTTTCAAATAAATTTCGCCCCCTTTGCCATTTTCCTTGCAATTGCGATTGGCAGTGGGTGGAGGTGGAAATTTTCGGTGCTGGTAGTAAGGGTAGCATAAAGAGGCCAATTTTGCATGGTTTCGCACTGCTGCTCTTCTAAATTGAGATTAGTGTTTCGTAATAATTTTCTGTGGATGCAACTGGTGCCTTTTGGCTTTTTGAGAACTGTTTTCTAACTGTCCGCATTTTAACTAGATCACCATTCTTATTAACTTGACACTATTTCAAGTTATAAAACAAATATTTTTTTTGTAATTCAGAACTAGTACCGAACTGGCCCCATTTAAATAAGAACTAAATGCTGGAACTATCCATCAGTATTAACTACTTTTGCAGTAGTTTCCAGCTACAACGCAATATAAATATTTCACAACGAAAATACCAACAACGCCTCCAACTGTAAATTTAGTGCATATTATAAAGTATGAAACAAATTGTTCATCAAACAAAATTTTGCATATTTTTTGTGAATTTATGTGTAATGGATACTTTTTATAACATCAAATTCGAAAGTTAACTTCGTGTTCCAAAGTCAAATAGTTTAATTGGCTACTAGGTGGTTCCCAACAGGCAATTTTCAGACTAAATAGTTTACTACTTCAGGATCTTTATTTACTACAAATATCCCATACTGACTCAGTTTCTTTTTTTTTTTCTCCAGCAAAAGTTATTAATGGCTTTTATACGAAAAAAAATAGCAGTGCTTTTCGGGGTGACAATTTGGCTAAATTACGTCACAAAACTTTAGGGGGGAAACCTTTGAATTTTCTTCGGCCACCACACTCTGCTGCGTATGTAAACATGTGTGTTTGTGTGTGTGTTGCTGAAAAAAATGCGCTTGAGGCGTGTCGGCTAATATTATTAAGTATTTTTGTACGCGTGCGCTTTATAAAGTTTCATCAGCGTTGACTGCTTTCTTTTTCTCTGTGCATTTTTTTTTGCCAAAAATTTCAAAATTTTTTAAATGATTCTGCATTCACAGCTCTACTGATATTTCGTCTCTTATATGTAGGCTTAATTCCTCTCTGCCCTTCACACATACCCTCATGAATTGTCACACCGGCCACTTGGCAACTCTGCCATACCGTTGTCGCGCAGCTTTAGTTACATACATTTTTTCATGCTCGGCAGTCAGCGTAAAATTATTTTTGCATTTTTTTTTTTCATTCATTTCCGCATAACTACCTCTCTGGATGGTTCTTGTGTATGTAGCCGCTGCCATCACATTCCCCATCCAACTTCTTCGCTAACTTCCAGTTGCAGTTGTTTGTTTGTTCGCTGACCCATCATCATAGCGTATGCGTGACATTTCGCTGCAATTTTATTTATTACATAAAATCAACGAGAAATTGCAGTTGTTTAAAAGTGCTGTGCTTTTCCACAATTTTTTTGTTTTTGTTTCATTTTTATTTTTAACAATGCCATTACGTGGACATTTATTTAATTTTTACATGCATTGCGCGCTGACTTGGCTTGAAGGATTAAAAATACGAAAAAAATTACTGGAATAGTTTTGGCATGAGGAAAAAGTTCTATAAAAAACGTATGCAAGACTATTGCGTTTGAAAAATTTAAGAGAAAATTGTTGAAGGAATTTCTGGACAAAAAAATTTATACAGAGATGATTTTTGAAAGAGTGGAGAACCCTTATTGGTTGACACAGATTCGGAAGTGGGCAGCCACATATTTCTTACTTGTTAAACCCCATCCAGACCATAGCTCATCTGGCAATCATCTCCGCTTTGATTTCAAATCCAGAGTCGCTGCTTATATCGTTGAAAGCTTTCTAAAGACAATGCATTAGATATTTCATTTCGCTTTTCTGTCTCTTCTCTGGCCTGAAAATTGATTAATTCATTCGCTCATTGAACTCTTAAAAACAGGACCTTACACCACGACTACTTAATGGTATAGTGTACTAAAAACTTTACGGTAAAAAGTGGACATAATTTGCATGCATGTATGTGAATCCGTTTACATTTATATTTTTTTTTACTGTTCAGTTTTCTGCGACCACTTTAAACAATGAATTATCATTACTGAACTTTTATCGTCCTATTCTTTGTAAAATTTTCAAAAATATAAGGCTTTATCCACACTTTCAATTCAATTTTATGTGTGCGGATTAATGCCTTTAAATTTCAAGAAAAATGGACAGAATTATTATGTCTTCAAAACGCCAAAAACTTTTGCCCAATTTTTAATTCACCAAAATGACTAGCAAAATTATGTCCAGTTTTCAAATGACCAAAAACTTGATATGTCCAATTTTGAAATCACCAAAAAATTGAGTTCAGTTTTTAGACAACTAAAAAGTTATGCCCAGTTTTCAAAAGACAAAAAATTTATGCTCAGTTTTTTAAATTTCAAACATCTATGTCAACCTTTCATATGACCAAATCTTTAAATGGATGAAAAATTATGTTCAGTTTCAAGAAGACCAAAAATTTATGTCCATTTTTCAAGAGACCAAAAATTTATCTACAATTTTTAAATTACTAAAACATTTCGTCGAGTTTTTAAATTACTTAGAAGTTATGTCCAGTTTTCAAAAAACCAAAAATTTATGCTTACTTTTTAATTTCTAAACAATTATGTCCTGTTTTTGAATTACATAAAATAAGTATTAACCATTTATGTCCAGTTTATAAAGAACCAAAAATAGGTGTCCAGTTTTAGATTTCCAAAAAATTATATCTAGTATTAAAACTATAAAAAAAAAAAATATTTGTCCAGCATTTAAACTACGAAAAATTCATCCAAAGTTTTCAAATGGCTTATATTTATTTTTTAGCAAAAATTTATGTATGCTCAGTTTTTACATGAGTAAAAAATTATGCTCATCTATTTAATTACGAAAAATTTAGGTCCGCTTTTAAGTCGACAAAATATCATGTGCAGTTTTCAAATAGCCAAAAAAATTTTGTCAAATTTCGAAATAACCAAAATTTTTCGTTGTATTTTTACATATTCACATTTTGCACATCACTTCTTGACAACTGTGTATATAGAAATCTTTCTGTAATTTTTTCTCTTATTCGTTTTCTTTTCCTTAATATTCTCAGCTTAACTTTTAATTGTTTACTGTCAGCTGGAGAAATTCTCTTACTACCATCAAATCAACTACATTGACCATTACGATATCACTTCATGAACTTACCGTTAATTCTGTCTTTTACTTACATAATTCCCGGATATTTTTAACTTTGCAAATTACTGATGTCTCATTCTTCATATTGGCAACAAGGCTTACACTTCATTGCCAATCAAAGCCTCTGCTGTCGCTTTACTCAACTCACTTAAAAACATACTTGACCTGTTCGCTGTTTGGATGACACTCCTACCCAGCTTCTCCTCTCTTACCTCCCTCGTATTTCGCTACTGAAGATCTTTGTGCCACATTCTTTTGCTGCTGTGGCAAGACAGCGCACATATTTTACTGCGAACACGTAAATCATTGGCATATCTTAACCAGAACGCCTCTTTAAGTCCATCACTACTCTCCAACTTCTTTCGCTTATATTAATATTTGGACGAGTATGCAAACTTCATCCCATCGCATACAACAAGGGATGGCTGTCTGCTTTCGCTATCCCCATCATTCTACTCCACCTACCTGCTCTTCTCTTTCGTTTACCTGTCAGCCTGTTTTATTGCCTGTCAGCCTTCATTGTTGACATTGTTTATTGCAGCAAAGTCCGCGCGCCCGACAAATGAGTAGCGGCCAAGTAAAAAAACAAGAAAAAACAATAACAAGCAAGAACACAACACAAAACATAAAATAGCACAAAGTACGCTGCGCTGCGGACGAAATTACATCAGTAGCCCCGAGTAGCCTTTGTAGACTCATCAGCGGAGACAATAAACAGCATAAAAGCCTCATCCTCGCATAATTTGATGCGCTTCACTACGCATACAAACGCGCACAAACGCAACGCATACACGTAAACAAGCACAGACGCGCTTGCACTGGTGCGCATTAAATTAAGTCGTACACACACACACACTCACACATGTACAGGTGTACGAAAATCGTCTTGGTCGTTCCTGTCGCCGTGCGCTGCGTCCTCAGTACATACATATTTTGCATAAATTTAATTAAGCGGCAATGTTGCTCATACGCCCCGACGCACCGTGTAATTTCGTCTTTTATGTGAGGCAATGTGGCAAGGCCATTGTTAAGTGCCACAGCATGTGCATGTGTGTGTTATGTTTGTGTTTTCAAGTGTGTGTATTGTACAAGCAAAGCTGGCGCAGCGTAATCGGGTTTCGTTTGCATATTTTAACAACAAATTACTTGTTTATTGACATTCATTACAAATAAGCCATCTTGTCGGCGCGATGACCATTCGCCGTTGACCTCACAGGC